GCAATTTTGTCTTTTGATAAAAACAAAAGTAAAAAGTAAAACAAATTTTTAAGACATAACATGCTGTATATAGAAGTTGATTTAAAAAAAAAACAAAATGCAAATAACATAGCTGTAAGAGAATGATGGACAAGCTGGACTATATTTCAATAGGAACTGTGTGCATCCAGAAGGACAACTAAGAGTAAACAGGGAAGTGACAAACAGAGGGGGAGACAAGCTACACTGACAATAGACGCAGGGTGTGCTCAGCTCAACAAACAGCAGACCACTGTACAGCATATTCAGCTAGACATACTCCATTCTGAGTCCGTACTTGCTTGGAATCAAATTCCACTGGTAACAGTTTGTGCTTCCTATACCCAGACTACTCTCCACTTCTGAATGCAAACAGAATATTTGAAATAAAGAATTTCAATAGCAAAGTGATGGTAAAGATCAAGCATTAAAATTTGGGTTACTTCAACTCTATTATGATAAAGAGAAAATATGTCTATTCTGCTTTCTTTCAAGAAGCTTTGTGAAGACTGTCCTTGCTCCTTTGGTGACCACCGTGCCACAGAAATTCATGCCAGTGCTCCAGTGTAGGCCACTTTGGTCACATATAGCTCTTTTTGGTAGATATCAGCAGCATGCTAGTGAAAAAATACCAATTCTTTCTCTGACAAAATGTTTTTAGGTAAATCCTCAGTCCTGTAACAATCCTTCACACAGGGCTCTGCCACCACCACCAAACTCTCCCCAGAATTCTTCCAGGCAGGTAGGTCCTTGTTATGTAGGCCCCTCAATTCTCAACCCTTAGCTGCTCCCTGCTTGTCCTGGAACCCATTCATTTGTTCTTTTCTTCACCAGCTTTGCACAGGTGAGGGTTTTGAATGACCTATCCATGCTCTGTTCCTGAGACCTGTTTCATTTTACAGTTCTGCATGTGAGTCCTCTCTAATTCAGGTGGAAATAATTATTCTCACCAAAAAGAAGTGGCAAGTGGCAGTCATGGGCTGAGAGAGAAACCAAGAAGCTGAGCCAGAGGCAGCCATGCAGGCTAGGAAGAGACAAAAAGCAAGCCTACACCTTCCTGTGAGCCAGCTGGCCTGCAGGCTGGGAGATAAGAAGAGCATCCCATACCCCAGCATCCTGGCTGATTCAGAGGAACACAGACTGAGTTGATAGTAACTGAAGTAAAAAACAACTTAATGCTTGTGTTGTTTGATTGACTTTGCAGGCCTAAAGCCGGTAGTCTGAGCATCTATTTAGAGGATAACAATATGCAATATTGCAACTATGGGGGATTTTCTTCTGTCTTGTTTTTAAAATCCACTATTGCTCTCACTGTTTTGTTTTGTTCTGTATTATTGTTTTGTTTTATTCCCTTTAAAATACATAAAATAAAACCTATAAAAATAAAAAATCAATAAAAAAGAAACTGTGTTACTTAGGATTGCAATGACAGAGTGCTTCTAGATCCAAACACCATATATAGATCCAAACACCATATATAGGTCCATAGAAGTGCTCTGATCTAATCGGTTACACATTCTGATCTCAATTAGGTGTCCTTTAAAACTATTAGCTCATGAAACTAAACAAAGCAAAAAATTTCATTAGGAGAATTCACATTGCTGGAGCATTTTGGAGATTGATTCCCATTTCCAGTGGTTGAGTATGAACAGGTTTTATTTAGTGTTCATTAAGTATATGGTCTAATGTTTTTATTTATGTTCAAGAAGAGGCAGTATAAGCAATTATTTCATCTAAAAATGTGCATGCTATAATAAAAGCCTGTATAAATCATTTCAAACACCTCCTGTCAGTTTTTAGTTTTATTGGAAATCTCTGCATTTCTTTATAAATAAAAAATGATACACTTGTATTTTTCTGTATCAAAATGTACTTTCTCTGCCTGGATAGAATGACTTATTCCAGGGCATGCACTTTATAAATCCCGCAGTGGTTAATGTTGATGTTCTTGTAAGTGATAAATGATGACAGTGTTCTAGACAAGCATAACTCATTGTTTGATGTTTTTGTTTTTAGTCCAGTTGACACAAACTCTTTGGTAAAGTAAAGGGGAAAAAAATGCAAGTATCTTTCTCCTTGGAAGGTTAAATATTTTAATTAGGTTTAAAAATATGTATGTATGCAAACCTCACAGCAATAGTAATGAATGATAAAGGCCATTCTCCGAGGATTTGGTATAGCAGGGTTGTTTTTCATCTCTATTATTTTTCTGTCATTTCTTTAAAAAATCAAGCACATTGCCTTTTCATGTTATTATGTGTGACTCTTTTGTCCCCTCAAGATTTCTGGATGTGGCTACAACAAAAATAACAATGAAAATTTGCCTAATGTTCTTTCACTCTAAATTTGAAACAGGGGACTGTACTACCTCCTCCATCTTGCATGCTAACCACCAGCCTTTGATTATGTGAGAGAAGAGGGTATCCGAAGTACTTCGGTGAATCTATCTGTATTAAATATCACCAGTTTAACCAGTGAGCACCATATTGCCATTCCTCTAATCTGTTTCTATTGCACTGAAGACTGGAGTTTTGAATTGAATATGTATCTGACACTCAAGCATCTTCCTCCTAAATCCAGTCAGTGATGCCTGCAGAATGCTGAGGGGTGCTGCGTGCATTAATTCATCTATTCCACAACTATTTGTTGTCCCTTATCTTTCGGTGAGGCCAGTGGTACAATGAAGAGGAGAAGACAGACACGGTCCCTGACCTCAGCAGAGACAGGAGCTCTTGCCAGTGCAGAAAGGTGTATCAAGTCCAGATGTTACAGAGGAGGAAAGTGGAGGTTCTGACCAGGAAAGTTACTGGTCCAGGTTTAGGGAATCAAAGAGTATGTCCTGGAAAACAGAATGGTAGCTAAACCAAGGTCTAACTAATGAGCAGAAATTAGGCACTGTGGGAAAGAAAGAGAAAGAGAGAGAGAAAGAGAGAGCAAAAAGCAAGCAAACAAGGGGATCAGTCTGTTCAAGGAGAGAATTCTAGGCTCTTCGTCTGGAGTGTATATGCCAAGGGATGGGTGGTATGGGGCAGTGCACCAGGGTAAGGCTGGAGACATATGTTGGAGTTAAGGTCCAGATTCTGAAGGCAAGACTTCGAGAGATTTTTTGTAAGCTGAGATAGAAACTTGGAGTTCCATTATGCATGGACTAGGAAACTGCTGGAATGTTTCTAGCATGTGCCCCAAGCTCTCTCTGGTAATAGATGTGGTTCAGAGAGACAGAAACTTGAGAATTAGCTTCCAGACATACTGAGGTTGTGATGAGAAAGTTGCCTGACATGTTTAGTTGTGGCGGTATCAGGTGTCATCCTCGAGATGATGAACAGCACCAAGAAGGGACAGGGTCATGGCCAGAGTTTCTATTTTGCTCACCCGGACATGTGCATATAAGTTCAGAGTGAATTTGAGGGATAGAAACTAATGATTGGGCTGTTTTCCTACTGGAAAGTCCAGTACATTGGATAAGTGGTTCTTGAATCATCACTAATAGTTACTGAAAAATAGTACCAGCATTGCTGAATAGAGTTTTACTTGTAAGACTTGTCTTTTTCCAGCTTCCTGGGAAGGAATGGCCAAATGCACACTGAAGTGAAATGACCAGAAGATACATATGTGCCTTCTTTCACGATGCAGAAATGATGATCTGTTTTGAGGTGCCTTGCTGCAAATGATAAAAACCTGCTCTTACAAAGATGGCCTCAGAAAAATATTTAACATATATAATTAGAATTAAATGTAATGAATACCTGAGTATTTCAGTGCTTGGATATCTCATTGCTTAGTTTCAAAGGGACACTTCTTGGAGACAAATGCACCTCATCAAATTACTTGCTAAGTAGCCCTGCATCCTTGTTGATATGGGGTATATCAAGGATGCTTTCCCACTCAGAAACAAAGAATGCTGCAGTTTTATGCAGCGTCCTCTGTCACAAGGGAAGTCAGACATATGCCAGGCTGTATTTTGCCTAACTTCATATGCTAAAGGTGCACATGAAGTTAAGATAAAAAAGAAAGGAAAAGAGTTTGACCATGGCTACTGATGAAGGCTGATAACAGTGGTATGGGGCAAGATACAGGGTAGCCATACCTTGGAATCTGGATTCTGTTTGCACTGTTCACATTTTTGATAGAACATGGCCCATGTGATTATTTGATTAGTGTGATCTTTGTTGACAACAGAGATGTTTTAAAAGTTTATAGTCCTTGTAAAATTCCTACTAATGCTCATAGTCAGTGATCTTGAATTCGATTTTTAAAAATAATATTTCGCCAAATTCCTCTGTCCTTGTGTTTCAGGAAGCTGTGGCGGACATTTCTTCCTGTGGTTGACATTTGCATCAGTAGAGAAAGCCTGGAGACTTAGTAATAGCTGATCACAGGCATTCTGGAGACCCAGCATGGGCCTTCCCTCCTCCGTCCTGCTCTAATTAGGTGATCACAGCCATCTCTCTTGACATATCTGCAAGGGGTTAGGGATACTTGGCAACGAATCCATCAGTCACATGGAAGGCAAAAATGAGCTGGGTCAAAGAGAAAATACACCTTTATTTCACATGACTTACCTGGAAATTGGTCCACAGGTCTGAGAGGGTGGATAGAAAATTTTGTAAGTGTAAAGCACAAATGAAATTTACTATATTGTATTCTAGGTCAAAACATCTGATCTTTGAGTTATTTGATGATAATTCAAAGTGAAGAAATACAGAAATAATAAGAAAAGCTGTACACAATAAATTTGAGTAAAAGAGCCTGGGATTTAGCTCAAGTGCTTGCCTGGTAAGCACAAGGTTGTGAGTTCAATCTCCGATACCCCTCCCTACCAAAAGTATAAGTAAATAGTATTTTAAAGTAATGGAAAACTTGTTTTTTAAAGGAATCCTATGAGAAAATTTTTGCTTTTGTTGCAGTACTGGGGATCAAACTCTTGGGTACTCTACAATGGAGCTACACCCCCAGCCATTTTTATTTCTGTTTTGAAACAGGGTCTTTGTAAGTTGCCCAGGCTGGCCTCAAACTTGCAATCCTCCTGCATCAGCCTCCAGAGTAGCGGGATTGTAGGTGTGCACCCCTATGCCTGACCTGTGGTGAGTATTTTTGTGATATGCAAAATTATCTCTCAAATTTCTCTGTATTTTCAATGCTTTAATGATGTGGAATTTTCTGGAAGTTGTAAATGTCTTTAGTTGAAAGATACTGTTTCTCGGTTGTGATTGCTGCCCCTGTCTTCCCCAAGTTATTTAAGCCAACAGGACAGAAGTAAATGAATGCAAATCAGGAAACATATTTATATTTAGCTGTAACCATTCGGGCTCCACCGTACCACAGCATCTTTCTTCACAGAGGAGATGCAAATTGAAAGCCCTCAGAGCTCTGGTGTCTGCAGCTGTACTACAAGGTGTGGAGAACAGTGAGGTACATCTACCAGGAGGGTATGAAACATTGATTCCTTTTTTCCTCCTGTATCTTTCTCAACCTATGGTTTAAGATGTATGTGTATCAGGACTTCGGGCAAGAATGCTTCCTCCCCAGGAACTCTTCTGGGGAGTATGTGGACTATGACAGTCAAGATACCTGTGGTTCTAAAGTATGTGTCCTGTAATGAGATGGGCATTTCAGAATTCCAGAGATAGGCACACAAACACACACTCAAATTCTGCACAGCGTGGGCTTCCTAAAGTAAGCCAGTACTAATGACTGTATTAGTACCACACTGTGCTGTGTGTAAGCTGCTGACCTCCTTTGGTCCACTGGGCATCACTGTGGGCAGATATAATTGCTATCACTCTGCTCCCAGCAGAGAACCTGAGAACCCTGAACATGAAACTGCTTATGCATCATCATAACTGACAAGTCTGAACATTAGGATTTTAACCTAAAGGACTGGTTCCAAAGCCAAGGCTCTAAATAATGTAACTTTTCTAGAGCTGCCACGTGGTGATGACTACTGCTCTTTGCTTGCTCATTTGTGATCCCTGCTGACTTTAGACAATATTTTTAGTCTTGTTGCAGCTTTAATTTCTGTCTGAGGCAATGAGATGGAGAGAGAAAGCGTTCCCCACTGATACCTGTCATTACTGTTTAGCTCAATTGAGACAGAATCTCAACTGGCCTCTCACGTTTTGGAATCATGCTTTAAACAAGACACTGATACCAAAGTTAAACAACAAATTCCTAATTTCATTTTTAGACCAAACAATTATGAAGTGCTGCCTTAAATTTATCTCTCATCTTGATGGCCTCAGGGAATATCACTGCTTCTTCACATTTCAATGCAGAGGCGATATAAACACAATTGATGTGGAAATACACAGCAATCTCTGATTGCCTGTTGTGTATCAGTCAACCAGGAGGTAAATACAGATAGAATACTGACCCTCATGATGTAGCAGAGAAATTAGACAATGACTGTGTGGTGGGTTGATAACTGGTGGTCAACTTGTAATACCAGCTGAACTGAATCAGCATGGTGCCGAGTGTGAATGGCCCACCAAGGATTGTTGCCAACATGAAAAGGAGAACTGGAGAAGAACAGGTACTGTTATTGGTTTTCCTGGTTGTTGTTGGGTCTGTTGCCATTGGTTCTCCTGGAGAAGATTGTGGAGCTTCTTTCCTGACATGAACTTAGCTGTTCTCACCATCAGAGGAGCTCAGGACATTGTTGTTGCTGAGAATGGCTGTGGTTCACTTTGCAGGAGCTGTGGTCCTTACTTTGAGCCTTGCTTCCTGGCTCCGGAGGGGAAGATGTGTGCTGTTCAATCACCAGGAGAAGCTTGTCATGCTGGCTTCCTGATATGAACTTGGCTATTCTCATTGCAGGAAGAGCTCAGGACTCTGTTGCTGCGGAGGATGGCTTGGTACTTTTCAGGGGAGCTGTGGTTCTTATTTTGAGTGTCTCTTCCTGGCTTCAGTGCAGAATCTACAACCTACTGGCACAGATCCTTTACCCCACTGGCACAGATTTTTTAGCTTCCATCATTGACCATCGTTGACCATTGGGCCTTCCCAGTGCAGACTGGTGAAGTAGACTTGCATGAGACATTGTCATGGGCTCTAGGCCACCAGTTGAACTCATGGTAAGCATTGTCATGGGCTCTAGGTCTTTAGCTGAACTCATGCATTGCCATGGATCCAGGCCCTCAACTAGATGCTTTGGGTCTTAGTGTGTGGACAGATTTCCTGCTCTCTTTCTTTTGTGTTTGACTTTTTGGGTAACCATTATAAAATTATACTATAAATTATGTGTCCTGTATGTAACTGTTTTCCTTGGGATCCCTGACTACAACGAACTATATAACATCCATGAGATGTGAAAATGAAGTTTTCCGTTTTTCTCAATCCTGACATCTCTGTTTTCCTGCCTCATCCTCTCCTTCCCTAACTTTTCTACACCCTGCTTGTCACTTTTCTATACCCTGTTTCTTTATAGCGACCTCTGGCTGTCCTGGGCTGCCTAATATGACTTCGTAGGAAGATCTCTATGTTTTCAGAGCTACAGAGTCTAACTTCTCCCAGCTTTATCTCGCACAAGAAAACTTAATCTTCCTGAGTCCCATGTCCTCAAAATAATGGATGGGCTCATCCAAAGAAGTTAATTGTTAATAAAGGTTTAACAAGTATTTATATGTTAACAGCAACCTATAATACAGTATCTTGATTTTTAGGAGCAAGACTCGAGCAACAGCTAACAAAGACAAGACACTTTGAGAAATGTAGACATATTGATAAGAAGCTAAATTTATTTCTGCTTGGGCTTTTTAATGAGGGGTTTTCAATCATGTCACAGTTTCCAGTCTGAAATAGCCACCATTTATCGAATCCTTCAGAAGCCTTCTCTGAGCTGTATGTGGCTAAGGAGAAGAATTTTATTTTCCTCCATAAAGATTGATGTTGTTAGTCAAAGGCATCAGCAGTGAGTGTAAATTTGCATTTCAAATTTAGGATGATTTATTTTCAATAAAAAGCATATATTGCTGCTGCAGTTAGTCTAGCTGTGACTGGGGATTACAGATTGATATTGAAAGACTATTAGAAATGTGAGCTGCCCTATAAAGGGGAAAATTGGCACATTTGACTTCATAATTCAACATCTGTGTATGACAGAAGATACCATAAAACAGCGTTACATGACAAACTACAGACTCGGAGAAAATACTTGCAACATACATAATCAAAGGGTGAGTAATCAGGCTTCTCACTCCAGAGTGAGAGGCTCCCGAGCGAAAGACAAACTGCCAATTTATGTGGAGGAGAATGTAAAGACCACCCAGAGAAAAACACGGATGATGGAAAAGACCACAAGACTCGGACCTTCCTTTAGAAAACTGATGGAATTTCATTTCATGAGCCCCCATTTGTATATTCTCCACATATCTTCACAATTCTTTAGGATGAAGTTTTTTTTCCTCCTCTTTTTCCAAAAACAAACGAAAACTAAACCCCAAAGCACTGTGTTAATTTCAGGTTCCTTCACTGTTCATTCTTGACTTGCTTTGTGATACTGGGGCTGTATGCTGGTAAACTCTTTGCCACTGAATCACACCCCAACCCTTTTTATTTTATTCTAAACAGAGTCTGACCAAGTTATCCAGGATGACCTCAAAATCGCAATTCTCCTGCCTCAACCACCCAAGGAGCTGGGATTACAGCCGGGCACTCCTATTCCTGGTTGTGATGTTCTGTTTTATTTGTTCACATCTTTCAGGCTATATTGTATACGTATGATCTTCTACAGGTTTGTTCTGAACAGAGAGTGGAACCTCATAACCCAGAATCAAGTGCAGGCAATTTCAATTGTCTGGAAACCTCCAAGCTTCTTACTTAAGCTTTAAAATTCCTTTTTGTCAGCCATCCCATCACCATCTTTGTCTGCATTTTGTTTTCACAGTGCCAGGATGGAACTCAGGGCTTCACACACTCTGGTGCTTTACCACTGGGCTACACCCCACCAGCCCCCTACATAGCATTTTGAAGTAATGTTTTGTACATTGTAAGAGAGACAGCCTAGTTATTCACTTATTCTTAGACACAACAGCGTGATAGGCTCTCTGGTAACAAGTGTCTGTGTAGCTTGATACACAAGTCCAGTATCAGTTCCCTAAGTTCTGATGTTCCCAGTAGGATAAATCAAGTTAAAAATCCATTTCAGATTTTCTCATCTGTATCTTATATCTCAAAAACTTCTTACATGTTTTGTTTCAATTAGGTTGGCTGTGAGTGAGTGACGGTATATTATCATGGAAAGATGTCACCCTCAGTATTTTTTAAAAGTTCCAAGATAAGATACATGGTATTTGTATATTTCAGTCACCTTCTTTGTGGCTGAGATGCAATTCCTGCTAATTACAGGAGGAGAGGTTTATTTTGGCTCAGAGATTTCAGTCCGAATCTACTGACTTCCAGAGCAGGTGGCGGGGTAGGGTGGGAGGCAGGGAAGAGAGAGAGAGAGATAGAGAGAGAATGAGAATGAAAATGAGAATGAAAATGAAGGGGGAAACTGGAGAGCGAGAGAAATCCTTCCAGGCCACACCCCCACTGACCCACCCACTTCCTAACAGCAAATCATCTGTAACTCTCCACAATCCCATCGCCTTCCAAAAGCCCTACCTCTGAGGGCGATCTAGGCATAAACCATAACATTACATTTTTACAATAAATAAAAACAAATAGCAAAGGTGGATATGAGTGGATGTCTGTTCATTGAAAAACACCTCAATTGTTAGCAGTGACTTCCAGAGAGGAGTTTGGGGTTGGGGTGAGGGAATATTTTCACTTTGTGTATTTTTAACTCCTAAACTGCATTTAAAAAATTATTTTTATTATTAACTTACTAAAGAAAGAAGAAACTGCTAGGGTTTTCTTATTAAGTAAGAGTGCCAGGCTGCCCCCAGGTTCCATTGTAGTACTGCTGTGTTCTAGAAGAATCTGCATATCTCTGGGTCTTTTCTAATGCCCCCGATGGTGATGCACGTTGCTGCATATTCTCCACTGATTGCTTAAAAGTTTGGGAAGTGCATCACACCGAATGTCAAGGTAGATGAGTTCTCGGCCTTGTTTTATCAGATCCCACAGTCTGTTTGCAGACCAT